TTTGTAACTGCTATCTGAGGAATATAGATCATTTCATGGGTTAACCCAAGAGTGATCCTTCGATTAACAGACAAAAACCTATCTTACAATTTTGATTAATGGATCAGAGTTAGAACTATTCAAATAGTCAGTTCAATCTACTGGTTTGGGTTTGGACTAATTCGTGAAAACTTTAACCCAATTCTTGCCGGTACCAACCCAATCCAGCCGGCATCTGTCAGTCACACAATAAACATGTCATAGGGTTATATACTTTGTACTGCATTTTGTTTTTTCATTTATGACGCCTCTGAAACATTCTCTAACAACAAATATTTATAAAAATTTCCTACTTGAACTTCACAAGTCTTTGTAAATTATCATCTACAGATCCTTCACGAAAAATTTCTTTTTGAAAAGAAATACTAAAACTCAACAATATTGTTTTATCGCTTGAAAGTATTATACGTAGACTACAATGTTACCCATTACAGGAACCCGAATAGTGCAAATATAAGCAAGTTTGATGAACTGGAAATTGAAGAAAGGCCTCAAGCTTCATCAATAATACTCTGAAACACAGTATTGAGCCCAATTATACGTTAAAAAAGGAGAAAAGATAGTTAAAGTGCTTAGTGTTGCATACCAAGAAAGAAATGACGAGTTTTATAGACTATAAATAATTCAAGAGAAATCAATCGAACCGATATAGAAATGATATTAAAAAAAGAATATTGCATTTGTCTTATACTCATCGTTTTCGTCAATGAATTTATGTGTCGTTATCCTCCTAATTGATTATAGACGAAAACGTCTGGCATCATTTATATTACATTGACATATCTATGCTGTTCCGATCTTTTGTTCATTTGTGTAACTTTCGATATTTTTTTTTGCTGATTAATGATAATATAACTAAAATACGAGTACACTTACAGTAAGAGTTGCGCATGAATATGAGATGTGACTGTAGGCTTCATCACTACTGATCAACTGTCTCAAATGTAAAGCATACAACCGATATGACTATTTTTTTCAAATCATATATGCTTACCTGTAGAAAAGTAAAATGTATCTCTTTTTACCACGTGAACAAAACGTATAAAAGAGATGCGCCACACCATCATTTGTGTTCTGTCCTCTCATAATATTGTCCTACTCTCCCATTTATTTTCAACTTTCCTTTGTAATTGCGACGCTTTCTAACAAGTTAATGTTTGTTGATATTATACCAAACGTCATTCTACAACGATTGAATTGACTTTATGTTTATTTTCATAGGAAGAGAAATACAACAAGCAGTATTCGATTTTCTAACTGAGCTGATAAGTTGAAAATAACGTCTAATGTTGACCTTAGTGATCACTAATAGTTGTAGCCGAACAGAAAATTGTATTATTTTGTCATGACGAAATATTTTGATGAGTTTTATAAACTGGCAATAATTAATATTTCGACCTTTTCAAGTATTAATTTTCAACTTCATCGATTTGTTATAATATTGTTTTAAATACTTTTCATGATGAGGAATTCAACTTTGACCTATAATTTTGACAATATTGAAAGATGTCTTTTTGGATATATCTAAGAGTATTTTTATTTTAGAATTTTCTCACTTGTAAAGACAAGTAGACGAGATATTTCTAACGTTGAAAAATTCGAAACCGATATTATGCAATATCGTTCAGAATAACTTTATTACTACTACAACAATAATTTACATAAAGATTGAATATTAGGTATTTCTTAAAGCATTGAAAGACTGGAATGATTTTTGTCATAACTGCGCTTCACTCTCAACCTAAGTGACATGTGCGCACACACATCAGCTGTTCTAAAATTGAATTCTATTTTTGTCTGGAACTATAAGAGAGTTTGCAAGAAACGAATCGGTTTCTTAAACAGTGAATACAATAATGCAAAATATCAATATTTCTTCTTTTTTTATTTTGCTCTTAAATGTAATATTCGGGAGTACTTACATGGTAATATAAGGAAAAATTAAGGAATTTAAGTACTGAGCAACAACATAAACGCAGTGAGTTTTACCGCCGCTACCAATATCTTTTTATCGAGGATTAACTCAGCTGGTATGGGGGTTAAGATAGTAAATAAAGAAACAAAAAAGAGAAAAAAGGAAGGAAAAAAGAAAGAAGAGAGAAACAAAAAAGAACCACGACGAGAAAAGAAAAGAATGAAGTGAAAAAACAAGAGTTAAAAAAGGAAAAGAAAAAAGCCCATAACGAAAGAAAAGCAGTGAAGCAAAGGAGGAGGAGAAGAGAAGAAAAAATGAAAGCCAAGCAGTATTACATATGCATTTCAAGGCCAAAAAAAAGGAAAGGCATGTCCCATCCGGGTATATCATTAGTTCATTTCAATAAATGATATCCATTTTAAGAGAAGTGATTCATGCTTTTCTATTAATAGTTTTATACGATTAGTACGAAAAAACTGACCAAGGTGATCCTTCTTTCTTTTATGAAATTCATCCCAAATAAAAATATCACTATAGGAAGAGTGAACGACCAAGATCTGTTGTGTCCATACTTTTTAGTCTTCTTTGAATGTAGTGTTTAATGTACAGTTCTAATGAATCTTCGTTAGTCGTATTGTATAGCTTATGAGCTGAGATAAACGGACAACGATGCACCAGCCGAAGACCAACACGGAATTTCTACTGTATTAATTGTTGATGCGATTCAGGAAGCAATGGAAAGAAGGGAAATATCCATGCAAAATGAGGAAATGTATATGCGAAAAAACATTGCCTAAGCGCCTTCGTAGACAAAACGTTTTACTCTCAACCACCTTAGCTTCCCCAATGATTTCTGAATGTTTCCTATACATCTATCAACTGTTGGTTTCAAGGATAGTTTGCTTGTCCAAGTGAATCCTAGGTACTTAAATTCGTTTACTAATTTGATTTTCTGTCCATTCATTTCTATGTTTACTCGTGACTTTTTTTATATGTAAATAAAATAATTGTGCCACTGTTTTTGATACGTTTATAGGTTGCTTCCATTTTTTTGAGTATGCAAATATTCGTTCACACAATCGAGTACCTTCGTGTTCTAAATAATTGATCATAGGTTCTAGTTTTATGCAAATAGGAGGTTTTATAATAACACAAAGATCATCCGCGAAAAGATGACCTGAATTTGCTCCTAGGCATTGGACCAAATCACAATGAAACACTATAAATAGGTATGGATTTAGACTACTATCTTGAGGCAGACCAATGTTTATATTAAAGGTTTCTGATGACTTCTCTCTGAATACCACGAATGCTCTCCTATCTTTTAACCAAGATATTATCATTTTCAACATGTTCAGCGGTAGATCTAATTTCCATAGTTTAGTCAAAAGAGCTGCGTGCCATACTCGATCATAAGCCTTCTGATAATCCACATAGATAGCTAAAGTCGGTATGTTTCCTGCCATACAGTTTTTCACTTCTTGATAAATTGACAAAACTCTTGTGGATAGTAAGCAACGTGGACGAAATTCTGATTGCTCTACTGGCACTATATGATTTGTCTCCGTCCAATATCTAATTCTATTAAGTATTAGTTTTTCAAAGAGCTTCGAATGTGTTGCTAGTAAGGAAATTGGTCGGGTTTCATCGCATTTTGGAACATCTACTTTTAATTCATTTAGAATTACTATTTTTGCTAATTTCCACGCGTCAGGATATTTGCATTCGTTCAACCACTGGTTAAAGCAGTTAACAAGGCATTCGATATAGCTGGGAGGAAGTCTCTTGGTCATGTAATTCGAAACCTGATCAAAACCTGTTGATTTTTTTGGTTTTGAGAGAGCGAATCAATCGTCTAATCTCTTCAATGCTTGTTTTTTTCCATTGTTTTGCTAGAAGTACTCTTGTTTCTTCACATAAAATGCCCTTCTGACGTAAATAGTAGTATTTATTCCTTATTTTTCTTCCTTCCTTTAATTTCTCGATTATATGATAAGGTAGTGTTGGTCTGTACTTCTCTTTTTGCTTCCATTTCATTAGTCTGTTTTTAACAGCTGCTATGAAGCGCACGTACTGACAATACCATTCATCTACTGTTGTTCTCTTCTGCTCTTCTATTCAGAATGTTTGGAGTAGAGCTAAAATAGCCTAAAATGCTCCCCAGTTTGTATGAGAGAAAGTACTTTTCATATCGAAAAAAATGTTTTTACATATTAGAACTAAAGGCCAGTAATCACTAGTGTCGTAATGCAATGTTTCACATGAAATAGTTGTCATATTTAAGAAGGATAAATCTATATTGCGCATCGAGCGTTTTGATGAATGTGTAGTCGACGGAATGTACTTTATTTGAGATTGTTCTCTTCAATCCAATCTTTCAGTACTAGTCCTCTCTTATCTGTCGCAGGACTGTTCTATTCTCTCATTGTTGCATTAAAATCACTAGTGAGAATGGTACCTTCCACTATAAATGGAAGAATGTCGTCCAGATTACGTTTTTGACTATTAGGCCAATAAATTCCTATGATGCGTACTGGCTCCGAGAGTCATATAATATCAATAACTACTGTATTCGGTATATCTGTCTCGATGTGTGATGCCTTTAGATGTTTTCCTACTGCTATAAAAAGACCACCACCATGATTATTAGCCTTTTGATAAAGTATGTTGCAATGTGGTAGTTTATTTGTATTCCATAGCTCACCCACTTCAGTGAATATGCATATGGATGCTTCTATTTTGTATACTAATTCGATAACTTCAAGTGCTCGTGTACCCCACCCTTCGACATTATAGCATATCAGTTTTAGAGGTACATTAATGCTCCTATGTATCATTTTACTATTATTTTCCCATTGATTTAGTATTGAATTCAAGGATAGATTGAAATACCACTCATTTAAGACCTGAAACATTCATTTTTGATCATTTGTTGAAAAATTCCATTGTCTTAACTGGTGCAGCGCTTGTTCTACTGGGTTATCGAAGTGTGCAGTTTTAGAGAGAAAGGGATGAGCATGCGGATTAAGCGTGGTATTAAAAATACTTATGATTGTTTCACGTTTAATGCGTTGCCACTGATTATTTCTTCAGCTGTTGATGATAATTTATTTTGCATAGGCGATGATTTTCCACGCTTACGTCTTATTTCATAGTCATTGCATAAATTAATATTTAATTCAGTCAATTTATCAAAGGCAGATTGTAAACCTGATGTAGAATTCAGTAACGCCGAATTAACTTGCTTCGTCACCGGCCAGATAATATGATGAATGAGTAGACGAACATGTTCTATCAGCTCGACTATTGTAGTTTGGTGTAGTTCTGTATATAGAGCTGTCTGATTCAATTTGATTTCGATCTTTTCAAGTTTTTCTTCTATTCTTCTATTACTTTCACTCATAGCAACCAGATGTTCATTTATTAGAAGAAGTGCTTTTGAACCGAGCGAGTCATCAGTACGTACTTCTGTTTGCACATGATTCCATGTTGCTTGTCGAGGTTTTTTCAATTCTCCCAGTAGTAAAAAATCTTCATCTTTCATACTAAAAGCATGTTGTTGTTTTATGTAGTCATTTCGATGTAGTTTGCCAGATTCCAAGGCTTTCTTTACATTTTCTTTTAGATCAGATCGATATTGTTGTATGACATGTACCATGAAGCGAGTTGTGTTCACTACCACATTGTGCACATTTTTGTCTTTTAGTACAATTGTGTTCTTCTTTTTTTGATATTTCATCAAGATAGACTCGACAGCGTTGTAAACTAGCCTTAAATTGTTCCCGTACTTGACCTATTTTCCAACATTTAGTGCAAAACGTCATGCGGTATCCAGTTAAAAAGGGAGTGATTGTAAGCCAACGATTACAAATCGAGATGCGACCAAGTTCAAGAGCTGTATTATATTCATTTAAGTCCGTTACAGTGAATTTAAAATCGTTGGATTTCCGTTCATATGAATAGTGTATTTGTTTTATATTATCAGCTGATGGAATTGTACGTTTAATTTCTTTTTTTACAAGTTCAGGTTTCATATCATTTGGTACGTACCGAACTACTAGAGCGAAGCAGTCAGGAATATATTTCGGTTTGGTAATTCTAATTGATATATTATTAACATACGTTGGCCATTTGTTTGTAGCTAATAACACCATGTAATCGTCTTTGTTATTCACTCCCAACTTCAGACGATTACTTGACCATCCTACTAATGAGAAGTGTTCAATGTTTACTTTTTGTTCATTGAAATACTTTTCAATAACATTTTTGGCTTCAAATGCCGATGACGGCCGCTGTGACGTAGTAGATTGGTCGAATTCGATGAAGAAGCCGGTAGATTATAGGATACGGCTCGTTTTAGCTGATCGAATGGAAGCGATTTCCGTTGTTGTTGATTAATTACTGCCGTATCTTCCGTTTGCATGCGAGTACTTTTGCTTGATTTATGTTGTTTCGGTGCAGAACTGCTGGATCCCCCACTGTCGTTAAGAGGTCGACCACGTTTCGGAGTTGATGAATTATGCTGAATATTTGTTTTAACATTTAAAATAGAAGGCATCGGCTGTTGATCTTGTATACTTTGTCCATAGCACATCTACTGAACAGATGACTGAACACTACGAGTTTGTGTAAATTCGATAAATTGATAGAAATCCCGCAACATGTGTGAATTTCATTCTAATGAACGAAGAAGACCTTCTCGTTGTTCCATATTGTTGTCATCTACACACATTGCTGGTTGAGAATAAAGTTGCTGATGTTGACCACCCATCTGGTATCGATCGTTCATACCTATTTCATTTGTTGCTACTTGAGCTGTACGAACGTAATTGTTCGATCTATTCATTTCGGCTAATTGAAAATTAATTGAGGACATAAAGTCATTCCTCCGCGCAATACGAGAGGTATTTGTGGGATACGAAGAAATAAGAGTATGTACGCGGACGAGCAAAAATGCGACTGCTCTCTACGAAGGCAGATGAAGAAGTGAATAGATAGTTTGAAAAAAATATCAATATGCTGAGTGACATTCCTCGATAACTATCACACGTTTACCACAGTTGATAGTAAATATGAGTAATCATTGATTTTTGTTCTGTCCAAGTCAAACAAGATGAAACTTGTATTCAAGAAAATCACGATCTGAATTTTTTCATGAATTTGTATGTTCATCGTTGGACAGTACCATTATACACTTACAGGTGTTCATACAACAAATTCAATCGGTTAGTACTGCTCTGATAAGGTATCAGAAATTCGAAATTATAGAAAATGATTTTTTTAGCGTTTTTTCTATCATAGCTGGATTAAGCTCGTCAAGTTACTTCCAAGAATTATGTTATTGGCATATATTCAAACGATACTTTTGCCGTAGAATTGAAGAAAAGTTAAGTTTTAAAAAAGCAAAGAAGTCTATCAAAATCGAAATATATATGAAACGCATGACGTCTGCGTATTTCTAATATTTATCAGAATTTTTTCATTTTATTCATATGGTTAGGAAGAAAAATACTACATATATACTTCTTGAAAAATGATAGTTTATTGTTGAAAAAGTCGATTTTTTTTCAATATAATATCAACATGTTATAGGTGAATACGGGTTTGTATTCAACGATTATTCAATGCTCAAAACTAATTTTCGACGAATTCCGACCTTAGAAGAACACAGGTCATTGTATTCAAAACCGACAGTACAAATGTGTAAAGACCAAAATCTAACGAAAATTAGTTTTGCGTATTGAATAAACTATTCGATGCAGATTTTTCTGCTGATACTGGATATGATATTCATTTTATTTTGGAGCCGCGCATTTTAAGAGTCAAAATCGTTGAATACAAATTCGTATTTATGATACTTTGCTATAATATTAAAATAAACAACGATGTTCTGAACAATTAAGTACCGTTTTTTGAGAAACATGCAGNGGCTGTTTTTATTAATTTTGACACTCCATTAGTATTTTGCGATTTTCTCTATGAAAACTTTGTCATATCGAAAAAATAAGAAGATATTCGTAATCAGCATTAAAAATTGAATCTAGAAATGTATGTCTAAAGAAAAAATGAAGAGCGCTCAAATTTCGAATTAGTTGCACCTTAAATACAGAGTTAATTTGCCGACGCGTTTCGTGTTTAGTTTATTTAAAAATTTGAAACACTCATCAGGACTTTGCACAGGGAAAAGCACAATAGGATACAAGAACAATAAAAAACACTATAGCTCACAATGATTTGATTAAAGTGAACTGAAATAAAGTAGAAGAACATAACATCAATTCAGGAACATAAAAACAATTTAAGAAGTTTTAAAAACCAAGTGTAATATAAATTCAATATACCAAATTGGATCAAGTTTTGTAACTAGAAAAATCTGGACGGAGGATCCAAAAAGTCGATTTTTGCGCGGACGTTCTCTATGGATGAGCCATTAAGGAAATGGAAGAGGAAGAATCGGTGCACATAGAGCAGCACAACTGGCAACTACTTCAGGCGTGGCGCCTATTAAAGCGACCACTGCTCCCATACCACCAGTGAGGAATGCAGTAACAATAGCGATAGCTGTTTCAGTGCCTCCAATACAGACAGCCATACATGCACCATAACCTAGCGGCGTGTTTTCAACAGTTGATGGAAGAACAAATAGCAGAACGAATCCAATTAGTAGAAAACCATAAGAAACCATTTTGCGGGTGTGGGTGTGGGTGTGGGTGTGCGTGTTGGTTTGCATGAAGAGAAGAGCCGCACCCACACCCTGCACAGTAAATGTATTACTAGCTGTTTCAAACATACGTACACATCTTTTTAAGCTTTCAATAGTTTCATTTCCATATTTTTCTCGAGAGAGTGTATGCTTTAATTATTTAACTGAATCACTTAATACTTGGATAAAATATTCTTTTAATTCTCTATATTTTCTTATCATATATTCACTATTTAAGTGTTGTCCTAAAACAGCGCATGCATTATATAATTTTGTTGTGTCTCTAACAATGTTAGGAAAATTTTTGTCGACCACTGATTTTTTTATAAAATTTGACTACAAACTCGTATTTTTCAGAGAAAATCCGACAAGCATCTTTATATTTATTATTGATATCTGAAAAATACCTGGCAAGAACTTTTATTTTATCCAAACGAGTTTTTGCTGATGAATCATCAATATCTTTTTTCTTCTAAAGATTTGAGTATAATGTCTACTTGTTGATCCAGATATAGAGTAAGTGCACAACTATGAACAATTTCCTTTCCTGAATAGTCATTTCTTGATTTATCTGCAAGTTTAGCATGATCAATATATGCTCGATATTGCTCAATATCGTTTACACTTAAAACTGTTTGATTGATTAAACAACGATTTAATATTGAAATACCGTTTTGATATTCTTCTGAGAGATGTTTACTTATATGTCGAATAAAGTCATCACCCATGTGAAAATGTTTGCCTTTGTAAGCTATTTACAAGAGGCTTAAAAAGGCTTATCCTTCAGTAAGCTGATATAAAGCGCATAAAGTTTCTCTCGTTTTAAGCTGCTAAAAGCCTCTTCACTCAAATAAACTGCTTATTTTACCTTAGAAAACAGTTTTTATACCAGCTTTTCAGCAGTTACAATAAAACTGGTTTAAAAGAGCTGTAAATTTTCATCTGTTTAAGCTCTTTTCAGCACTTACCACGAAACCACTGAAAAGTGCTGTCTTTTCTTGTATTTAAGCACTTTGCAAAACTTACAATAAAAAGCACTACTCAGTCAAGCAAAAACTCTTGAAACAATGCGTAAAAGAGTATGGATATGATTGAGAGTGTGGATGGATGTATGTGAGAAGATATGGGTGGGTTAATTGTGAAAGAATACCCACACCCACATGCAGATGAACTTGACCGAGTTTAACTTAATAAAAAACTCCTTGGCTAAGTTTGAAAAACTATAGATGAATCTATGTTGAGATAATAACTCAGTTAAATATTTTCTCTGTAGCCATTCGGCATAAGCTGTCTTTTTTATTTTCAACAAAACTTTTAATGATCCATAATTGATATTATTTTTATCACATATTCAATTCAATCAAAGAGGTTAGATTCTAAAAGAATAAAATAGTTCATGTTTTTTTTATTGTCTTTGGAGTGTTGGACTCAATTTTGCTTTATTTATTGATTTGTTTGCATAGACCATCAAGAGATGTTCATTATTCTGTTCCAAAAAATAGCTCGAATACGTATAACATTCGTTCAACAAATAATGCGGAGCGTGGTTGTAGGTTATGAAAAGAGTAACGCTTAACAGCCACACCCATGCATACCTACTCATGTTATTATCAACAAGATCGAGGGAAGTACAAAACGTAGAAAAAATCTTTTATTTACAAATAAAACTGTTATTTTATTATTATGGTAATCCTTTACACAAATAAAAATATATGAACAAAATCTACGAAACTATTTACGACGGAATGGCCGATACGAATGAGATCATATTGTGAAACACAACTGAGCTGTTGTCATTGCAAAAGACGAAGCTCATCAATATTTGCCAATTTATGAATTGTTTCATGCTGCGAAGAGTGAGTAAACAGATAGGCAACAAAGAACTTTATCTTGAGTTCTCATTTCTTCAGTAGCATAGCGTTGCGAATTCGAATGACATTTCATGTAATAGGGTATTGCATACAATAAAAAACGAATACTCACTTTCTAGAACAATCTTGATCGAAATATAAAGGATCTTATAGTCGTTTGGCTTCTGGTATCCGTTGGCACTTGGAGAAAGTCATATTTCTACTGCAATACTCATATTCTTTCATGCTTTATTTAAATTATGTCGCAGCAAAGCGAATAACAGATGCTCTGAGAAAATTTTTGAAGAATAAGAAATTCTATTGCAGCAATTGATCATGCTGGCAGAAATAAGAAACAATCAGTACTCACATGTATGCTTGCTGATATCTACACGTTGTGTTATTAATCCTAATAATAAAATTTAGTATCAATATGCAATGTATTTTTCTCGAAGACGTATACCAGTATTCTGAAAAATGATCTTTTCGAAAAACTGGAAAACTGTTTGAGAGATGGTATTGTATAGAAATGATTTTTTGAAATATACAATTTTTAGGAAATATTGAATCGATACGGAGCCGAATTGAATACGAACCCTCAACCGCTTAACATTGAATAGTATAGAAAAAATGCCAAAAATTTCCTCATTTTTTTATATCTAATTCGAACAATTCTATAACCGATAGACATTATTATACTTTGTTTTAAAACAAAGTTTTCCCTTGAATTCAGCTTCCCCGAATTAAAATGTAATCGAACTTTTACTTTCAGATTTCCTTCAGAGCACTGCATTCGTATTCATTCTCAAACAGCAATGCCTTGAGTGTTTCTTTATGAATCATAACACAATAATGTACTTTCTATTAGCAACATTAATAACTAATCGAATTTCCCCATTAATGGATTTCTTTTGCGTCTATAATGGAGTCCATACTTTCCCTTAATTCGTTTGTTTCCCTTAAATGGTGCCCGCAGGGTCTGGATGAAGATATCGCTGAAGAGAATATCGACACCCACACTCACTCACACCCATAGTGATTTACCATCTGCCAGCGAACCGCTAATTGCTTTTGCTAGATGCTAGCTGTCAAATAAGGTTAATCAGATTCTTGTTGACATAGTCCTCGTTTATCACTAGTATATTTCGGCCTTCGTCAAGTGAGATTTAATATGGAAATAGTAAGCAAAAAGAAAAACATTTTGCGTACTACAGTTGTCTGAAAGTAGCAGCAACGCATTTTTATTTGCACAGCCATAGAAAGAGAATTGCGTTTGTTTTTTTCCCTTTTTCTTCATGTGTGTAGTCCGCGGAAAGAGAAATCATCTCTTGCCATAGTGCAAGAATGAAACGACTGTCACAAAACCAACGCATGTGTTGCAAGTGAGTTTGTGATTGTTTAAAATAAAATAGAAACAATAAGAATCCGTAAAGTTTTGAAGAGAGTAGACCGAAAAATTGTCACAGTTAGCTTTTTTTGCACATGTATAGATTTTTAAATCCCAGTTACTGAGTAATGTAATCATTAAAATAGTTGATCAAGTTTCAAATCTCGCTGGAATCTTGGCAGTTTGAAAAGTTAAATTTCAACGCCATGAGCAGAAGCCGCGACGACAGACAGCTAAGTCCTGTGATGACAAAGCTTTATGATATGATAAATACTGTATTCAACGATTAATATTGAGACTCTTATTTTGAGTCTTTTCATTACTGTCTTGCGGGGAGGGTTTTTTCCTGTTATTTTTTCGTCTCATTTCCCATAGGAAAGAGAATAGAAACGACATTAAGCGTTAACGATCCCGAAAGCTTTTTTGTCTTATTTTCCTATACATTAAGATATGTTTATATAGTGACCTTTTTATTTTTTTGCGCCGTTAACCGATAGCTGCTACAGATCGACGGCTCGAAATATCTATCGAGTTACAAGCGCTGTAGGGACGCCAGCTTGTGAGATCCATTGTAGGCAGTCGTGGAGATTCCTCTAAATTTCAGACTTCTGACAAGAAATTTGTTTTTGCACAATCGTTTTGCACTTTTAACAAAAACTAAAGTAGTACCGATTTAACAAGATAAACTGTCTTGTTTCTTTGACTATTATAAAGAGTTGCTCGTTTTAACATAAATTGTATGCGAAGGATGGAAAGTTATACTATGCTTGTGAATCGTATGACTTTATGAAAACATTATTACCAGATTCAATATTTTAATCATGAAACATGAACAATCAAACGATTCTACGTTATTTTTGCATTATTTGTTTTCTCACGGTGTTCAATCAATTGAATATAATTTTAGTTTAAAAACAATTTAATATCTTGAGATATTCCCTTGTAAGGTGGGAAAGACTCAAAAACTTAGTGTTGCAGATAGTAAAACGAAAATCTATTCATAAAATGTTGACTGCATACGATTTATACCGTGGTCGATTCGAACATGTCCCAAATCGAAAACAGAACTCGGTGCGAATCTTCATCAGTTCTACTTTTACGGGTAATCATGGTCTTTTTAAAATGATTATAAAAAAATTATTCTTGCTCTCTCTCTCTCTATATATATAGATACGATCGAAGAGCGCGATGCACTTATTCGAGATGTTTATCCAGAACTGCAAAACTACTGTAAGCAAACATATAACATACAATTTCAGGTCTGCCATGTCGTTGTAATTGACATTCTCAATAAACTCGAATTGTTCTAGTACTCTGATATGCGTTGGGGTATTCAGGAGCATGCAGCTGATGACCACTCTACTGTAGACTTATGCCTACAAGAATTAGATCAATGCTGTCGTCTTTCATTGGCAACGAGTTGTGTTGTGAGTTGTTTGTCGTTACTTCGAAAGCAAAATTTGATTGTGTTAGATTCTATTGAGCCATCGATATGGAGGTCGAATGCTGCCAGCACGCATCAAACAGTCCATTTTTGAAGCTCTTGCAAATGTTCTCTCTATTGAAGATAATGCTTACATCAATCAATTTTATCAACTAGATAAAAATCCACTTGAACATGTCTATGTTCTTCGATCTATTGATCCAGCTGCAAAAAAGGAATGGAAAGCATCTGAGGTACAACTGCAACAGATCTTACGTTGCGCTTCTGATCTCTGCATACAAATGAAGGCAATCAGTGAAGATGAAAGAAATGAATTTCATGTTTCAGGTAAGTTTCTCTGCAAGGGTTTTTAAAATTTACATAGTGATGAATTTAGTAACAGCAAAAGAAATTTATCGAGCGTTAGAAAATAATAAAAATGATCGACAACGAATGATCTTCTGTTTCCGAGAAATCGAAGATATCGATCAATTTGATGCAAAGCTAAGGTCAAAATTTATTGACACGAGTAAGGAAGTAGAGAAATTATTCAATGATATGAAAATCGCCATTCAAGATGCTCTTTCGGCCGAAAATATATTAACCTATCGGGTATATAGCAATACAGTTTGTATGATTTGAAGCAAAAAATTGTTGTTGTACAGGTAAAATGGAATGATGTATCTAGTAAAAAAATATATATGGACAAATTCAAACAAGAACTTACTGATGCTATCAAACGACAAATTGATTATCATTTGGGTGAGCTGATTTATACTGAAGAAAACATGAATACGAATGAAAAGATGCTACAAGTACAGCCTCGACTGAAAAATATTTTATATGATGAAGTTCTTGAGCATGCCGTTCAATGTAAAATGCTTAATGAACGTTATTGTCCGCGAGAAGACGTATTGAGAAAGGTAAGCAGTTCTGATTTACGGCGTGCGAAACTATGTTTTCATTGGACAATATCATTTCAAATGAAACTTCTTTTATTAAGTTGAATTTGTAGACAGTGACAGAGTCAGAATGGTGGGAAATGGGCTCAGCCCTTTAATCCCTCCTCCCCCCCCCCCCGCCACAGTGAACAATCAAGGACAAAGTCTTTTTCAATGTATTTTAATTTTCCGGTTAGCATGGCGTTTTTTGTCGTTTGATATTTGTTTACTATCCGCTGTACCCATCTTTCTTCTCATGGCGAGATTTTTGAAATATGTGCTATTATCTGATATAAAAATGCTTTAAGGGTTTATTGGAAAGTTTTTAGACAACGTGTTTGCTGAATTTTGATCGTCTAGAGGGTATTTCCGACCAGTCAAAAATAGTGAAATAGTCTTTGCAAAGTGCAACAAATTAATTCGGATAGAAACTTTTTCAGAAGAGTTTTGTATTTCAACTTGCAATACAAAACTGAAAATTTGCTATCTTATTTATATATAAGCTTGTAGATCAGAACGTACCGTAAAAATGTACTATTTGAAGCTTTTTTTCTATCTAAATGCTCATTTTTGAACAGTCGACTTTTTTTACCAAAACACATCGTAGGTGAAAGAAGCTCTCACGAAATGCTTGTAGCCTCACTTGAGTCACAGCTACAGCTCAGTTCAATATAAGGGGTACAATAAATCCAAAGCCTTGAAATTTGGTACTATTTGGTTTGAATTTGAGATTAAATTTGAGTTCGATTTAAGTTTGGTACTGAATTTCGGAGCTTAGATTTCGATTTAGTTTCAAACAATCCGAATTCCCTAAGAGTCTGATAAGATAAGGTGTCAGCAACAATGATCTTCTTTGCTAGATTTGCGACACAATCACAGAGAAACAAATTTGGGAATGGGGACCAATTCCTTAGAATTTGGATTTGATTCCAAATCGCTAAATTATTGTTTGATTGCGCTGAACTCCTAGTAAAGAATATCGTTGTTGCTGAGACCTTATCTTATCAAACTCTTTGACATTTGAGTCATTTAAGAGCAAACCAAAATCCGAACCTAAGCCTCGAAACGCAATTCCAATTCTAAAGCTATACTCAAATCCAAATTTTGATAAAATCCTGAGGACCTTGGATCCAAATCCAAAATCTGTTGTAGATCTATTGAATCGTCCAGACTTCAATATCACATATTGTCAGGAAGTATCGACTCTGCAACACGTCCGACTCAGATAGTGCGTGACATATTCGTAAAAAAGCCTCACAGGGTAAACAAAAATCTCTTGGCTAAGTATCATAAATAATTTGTCATGCCTTTCAAAAAGTTCTTTACTACATTTGAAGCAAAATATACTCAAAATTTCTAAGCCCGTATTCGAAAAGCACACAATACTTTGGTTTTAGCACACATTTTCGATTCGTCAAAAATTCTTTCCAGTAGATCAGCAGTGGGCAAAAATCTTGTTCGATAACTTTCCAGTTACGCACTAGTCTTTGCAATGGAAGGTTATAGTTTCGAGGAAGCGATTGAAAATTATATTCACTGCATTTTCTCTTTTTTCAGAACATGTTTGAGCTTCATAATATAACATATCTGTTAAAATGTTTCACGACAAAGACAAATACATTTTTTTACTAGAAAAAAAATTATATTTTTCAAAAATTCTGTTAGACAAGACTCAAAGATAACTAGGAGGTTCAGCTCCCTACCCCTCCTCTGACTTCGCCATTTTGTAGAGATTAGAAAAAGACATAGCACAAGTCAAATTTCTATTATGGAATTCTCGAATCACGAGGATGTTTCAAAATTTGGCATTCTGTGATTCTGCAAACAATTACATAAGTTAATCAAAAAGTTCATACGCTTTGGAATATTTATTCATAGAAAAAACATTTTGCTAGTCTATTTACAATGGATGTTCAAAGTAGTTTCTACGATGTTCTATACAAAATTTCATCTTTTCATTCCATTTCTCTTTTGGTCTTCATGAATAGGTATTGAATTAAGTTTCTTGGTTCTTGTTTACCTGAATTCGTAGCGTGTGGATATGTATCAAGGCTACGTTTCAGATAGCTGAGGAATCAAAGTTCAAAGGAGCAACATCAGGCGTGCATGATGGGTAAACCATAGCTTAGATGTTCCTTTTCACTTGAGGATAATTAAGACTGAGCACAACATCTTGCATATGTGATTTTGCATTTATATAATGTAAATTTATGCTCTTTGTTGTTGATGATGTTTTTTCTTATGTAAATTTTTGATTAATATTTTTCAAGTATTCATCAAGATACTAGTTTATGTGATAGCTATGTCTTAAATAGTAGGAATATAATCAGTCTTAATATGTGGGTCATGAATTACCAGATGTTTATTAATTTACCGTTAATATTTTGTTGAGTAATGACGGTAATTGGACCACCAGTTTGAGGATCATGTTTCAATGACTCTCGTTCGCTTGAAAATCGATGAATCCAATCAGCTGTCCGAAATGAAATATAATCTTGGTCATAAGCATGTTTTCCCATTTTAAAATAGAGGTGACTAAAACATGCATTAAGAATGTCCTATATTAGACATTTGTGAAATTTCATGTTGGTACTAGAAAATATGACGCCATTTATTTTCGATGACTCATGTCTGTAATGGGGAGAGAGCGGTGGGGAGTCGCAAAAAACTGGCTCTTAAACTTACGCTCGCATATATTTTCCTCAAAAAAATATGTGAGCTCCACAAAATTTTAGATTAGTCTAAGAAGCATGAGATTTGTATTAGAGGAAATGTTGTTAAACAGTGAGAAATGTTTTATTGAAGTTTTTTTTTCGTCCGACTCAAGGTCAAAGCTATGGTTTTATCGGACGTGTCAGTACAACCTTGTATTTTATATGGAAACTCAGGTACAGGAAAATCATCTATTATGGCTGAGATTGCAATAAAGGTAAATTCTGTCTTGAACAAGCTTAATATCTCAAGTTTTGTTCCAAGATCGAAAAGTGGTTTGCAAAACCGAGCTCGGTGTCTGTCGTCATTCGTTTTCTTGGTACCACACCACAATCAAGTGATGTTCGTCGACCACTCATCTCTATTATTCAGCAAATTTGCATTATCTATAACATAAAACTATCTTATCTTATTCATGACTCAATGACTATTCAAAATCTTAAGCGAATACTTGAACATATACTCGGTCAAATTCCTGAAAATGAACAACTCATTCTTCTATTTGACTCTATCGATCAACTGCAGGTTGAATATTATGATTGTTCTAAGTGGTTACCTATGAACTACCCGAAGAATATCAAATGCATTATATCCACGATACCAGTAATTGAAGATAAAAACATTGATTATAAAATTCTTGAAGGATTAAAATCTCTTTTCGGGGATACTTCTATGATTGAAGTAACAGAGTTTGATGAACATGTAGCTCAACAAGTTTTTCATTCATGGTTGGAGCGTGATCAACGGTGTCTCACACCACTTCAAATGGAGTGGTTACAACCAAAATTTTTACCCAATAGTGATTATGGTGAACCACAACCAACACCATTGTTTCTTTCACTTCTTTATGAAATAACGCGTTCATGGCACTCATTTGACGACGAACCAGATCCCAGTTTCTTGCAAAAGAAATCAACAAGAGGCGCTATAAAATATTTATACTCTAAATGGTCCCAGAAACACGGTGAAATTTTATTTGAACGCGCTATGGCTTATCTACGCCAAGCTGGAGGGTTGAGCGAAACAGAATTGGAAGATATGCTTAGTGCTGATAGCGAAGTACTACAGTCCATTTTTATTCATTATTTGCCACCACTGAGTATATTTCGATTACCCAGTACTCTATGGATTCGCATCCGTAACGATATGCAGAAGTACCTTGTAGAAAAAACTGTCGACAATGTTTCTGTTATTTATTTGTAAGTGTAATAGTTTAAAACGTCGATATAGAAGTTTATTACATCTAAAATTTATGAATTTTCTGTATAGAAGAAATAAATTTAGGAGAGTGAGCAGTAGGAAAAAGATATGAAAATAAAGAGATAACTGCTGCAAAAAGCATATTTTTTTAAATATATTTATTTCAAACAGAAATAAAAAAGATTCAAGCTTTCGTGTTACATTCAGTGACACATCGTCAGGATACATTATGAAAGATATTAAGAAAGAAATAGCAAATGTAGAGTGTTACAGTTTTTAGTTTTTAGATAAACTGATAATAAGAACGACTGGAATTCGTTGTTCACGTCTGTGTTTTAGTAGGATGTTAGGATTCTTAAATTAAACTATATCATTATATGTATAAGTATGAGTAAGATTTGACTGATGACCATTAATTAATTTGTAGTATATATAAACATAAGAATAATAAAATATCAATAAGAATTCATCAGTGGACATGTATAATGTGTATATAAATATATGAGTCAGATTAAGATGAAATGTGAATTAAAATATGTATAATTTAATGATTAAGAGTAAGATGATAAGTAGGATCAATATTAAGTGAATTGATAATCAATGTAAGAATATAAAAGGATGATATTACGATAAATATCATGTAATTGGTGCTACTATATATATCTATATCTGAGTAGCATGGATCATTAATATAAAATAAATTCTAATAAATATATTCGGATTTTGCTAAGACTACAATGTTTGCTGATAATTGAATATGAGTATATATATAGGTATATGAATATAAAAACAATAGCAAGTATTGACTCGGTAGTGAGATAAATGTAGATGTAGCAACAAGAAACTTATTGATGAGGAAAACACATGCGAATATAACCAGATGTAGGTATGTAAACAAGAAGATTAATAAGCTATATAAATTCCTATAACTGTAAGTGTAAATTATGCTACTTATAAGATTTAAAGTAATACATGTGTGAATTTATA